CCCAGATATTTCCGTCAGTCACCATCAATGGCTCCAAGGTCACCTCACCTAGAAGTTCCCGCCTCTGTGCCAGGGCCCTCTGACTTCCCTTCTGTTGTCACTTTGGGGCCTCTCCGGCCTCTTGCACCCCAGGTCCTTCTTTTTCTTGGTATGCCTGCTTGTTTTGGTGCGGCACATCTTCCCACACCTCCTGAGAAAAGATACAAGGAAGGGAAAAATTCAAAAAATGCTGAATGCCTAGAAACATTGCTCACTCTTCTTCTCTCTTGCAAGACCATTTGTTCAGATGGAGAAACTTACTTGAAAATAATTTCCCATCCACATTTCGAAGGCATTTATTCCACCATCTCTCTCTCCCGGTGCTTTGGTGGTGAAGTCTAGCGCCTTTCTAATCCCTAAGCCTTCGTATGTGTTGTTCCCCAGCCTCCAACCTTCAGTGTATGGGATTTTCTCTCTATCCCCGGCACCTTCAGCTTCTCGATGAGACACCTGGGTGTGAGGAATTTTAAGTCCATTCTTGTGCTGCTTCACAAACTCCACTTGCAGGCTTCTGCCTCTCAGTGGGTACTTTGCTTAAATTGTTTCTTTGAAAATGTTTTTCCCTTTGTTCTCTCCCTCCCTTACTCCTGCTGGTCAGATGCTGAATCATCTCATTGGCTCTTCAGTTGTCTTTTACCTGTCAGTCTCTGTCTTTTTTCTAGAGATTTCCTTGATTCTGCTTCCTATTAGAGATCTCCTTATTTGTGCTTAGACTGCCACTTCCTCACCCTTTGTGGATGCAATACCTTCTCTCCTTTCCCCCGGAATATGAGTCTTGGAGCATCATTGGAGCCTGTCTTTGGCTTCCTTTTCTCATTGCTCTGAGTGCCTTTTTTCTGTTTGTTTGTTTGTTTTGCTCCATGCTGGCAGCTTCTCCCAAATGCTCCATGCTCCTTGTCAATCCATCCACGCACACCCAAGAGCACGGTACTCCAGAGCCTTCGGAGACTTCTTGTTGTCAGGGGGTAGCTTTAGACTGGTGGGAGGAGTAGTGTTTCCTATGTAAGCATTTTAAAGTCTCTTATCTAGGGATGCACACACAGGCACTGCCGGAGGCTACCAGCTTCCTGGGAGCTGAGTGAGGGAAGGGGATTTGGGGGTCATCAAGGCTTGTGTGAAGTCTTTCTTGTTATGCCTCAATCCCTTTTAGTCCAGAATCTCACTCCTGCCTCTCTGGGGTGCCTGAGCCCAGCACCATCCTTCCCCAGTGCCTCTGAGCAAACCTCCCTGCATGTCTGGGAGCACAGTGGAAACCTGGGATCCCCCTGGCTTCCTAGACAGAGTGTGGATTGACATATCTGGGTTCTCCCGCTTCCTCTTGGACCTGTTCTTGGCAGCATCCCTCCCTGCCCCTCAAATCCTGGCTTCTTGCTCCCTGCCTCATCACTCCCACATCTCAGTCTGTCTATCAGGAAAATGGGAATAACAGAAGTTCCCACTTCCTGGAGCTACTGTGAGGAAGCAGTAAGCTCAGGGTGGTCCAAAATTTCCAAGACGGCGATCATCAGAGCAGCCCCTTGGGCGAGCTGTGTCCCCAGTGTGGGTTGTTTTGCCCTCATTGACCCAGGAAGAGGAGCTGAGCACCATAATGACGTTGCACGCTGGTGCTGAATGTGCACAGCCAGGGCAGCCAGTATCCTCCACAGCTCGGAGCCCTCGCTCATGGGTGCACTACCCAGGCACCAACCAAGCGTGGCACCCTGGGGATGTGTGTGGCCTCTGAGGTTCTGCTCACCCCCTCCCTTCACCCACAGAAGAGAGGCCCCGGTGCAGAAGAGCAATAATAATAGTACGAGATGGCAGCTGAGAGCTGTATGGCTGATGGCACTTTGAAAGGAGGAGGAGCAGGCTCCTATGCCATCTACCATCTGCCCACCGACTTTTCAAGTTTCTTTTCCTCACCTTCAAAATTACATCTGCCTTCAGCAGGGATAATTACTGGCATGAAAAAAGTGGGGTGGCTGGGGTGTTTGCTGTGCAAGGGCAGGTGAGTCGCTCCGTGCAGCTAGAGGTTTAACCTGTGGGAGGAAGGGGCTTTCTCCTCTGCTGTAGGCTTCAGCATGGGCCGGCACAGGCAACTGTTGCATGCAAGGCCGAGGAGACCGGGCCGGCTGCCATGATCTGCTTTTGCTCACCTCCTGCACCTCCCTCGGCCACCTGAGCATGAAGCTTTGCCCGGTGCCCCAAACACCCAAGGCCCTGCTGGATCACACTGCAAAATCAGATGCGAGGACATGGCCTTCTTCCCACCACTGTGGCCTTCAGATTCTTTGAAATTATCTGTGCTATGTAGCGGGGGTGCATAACTCAGCTGTATTTCAGTGAAGCTGGTGAGCTTGGGGTATTTTGTTTAATATCCAGGGCATTGTCAGACATTTAGAAAAGTATGCATTTCATGGTACCTGTCTAGTAGAAGAAAAGCATCTGTTAGTTGCAGGCCCCTCCTTCTCCTATGGGGAGTGGCCTGGACCTCAGGGCCCCTTGTTTCCCAGTCGGGGAGCAGATGGGGGAGTGGAGCACAGCTGCACTGTAGCTGTGACTTAGACAGCAGTGGTTCCTAGGTGAGGGTCAACCTATGTCTCCTGGGTGCATCTCCCAGGACAGGCACAGAGGGTGCCCCCTAGAGGCAAGGGCAGTGCTCAGGCTGCCTCCCTGCCCAGTGATGCCCCTTGCAATGCCAGCTGCCTCCAACTGCCCAGTCTTCTGGGTTCAGCTGGACCAATGGACCTGTGGGTCTGCCTCTCCTCGGCTGGTGGCACAGAGCTGAGACAGAGGGGGGCAGGGCTGGTGCCACTTCCAGCCAGGAGCAGAGAAAGGTGTAACAGTAGGGAGCTGTGGCTTCCCAGAGGCTCCAACTGTGTAAGGGACTGAAAATGCTGGGTTACAACATTCAAACAAGGGAAGAGACGACAGACATAAGTTTCCTACCACCGATCTCCTACCTCTAGCCTTTCCCTGATGGCATAGTTTCCTTGGGATGCTGTAACCAGATGGCTTCCCAGCACTACAGACAGGGTGGCTTAGAAACAATGGAAATTTTTCAAAGTCCTGGAGGTGGAAGCCCTGGGTCAGGGTCTGGCCAGCACCCTCATCCAGGTTGCAAATGGCCACCTTCTTGCTATGTTCTCAAATGGAGAGAAAACAGAAAACCCTCTGGTGTCCTTTCCATAATCTCATCGTGGGGTCTCCAGCCTGGTGATACAATCACCTCCCAAAGGCTCATCACACAGGGGTTAAGATCGCAACATAGGAATTCTGGGGCACAGGAACATTCAGTCTGTACCGCCAGAGGGAACTCATGGTGCCAATTTCCATATTTTATGTACCTTTCTGGGAGTTTCTATGGTTCTGTGTGCGCGTGCACACAGACACACAGACACACACACACACACACACACACACACACACACACGGACTCTACATGCACATTTTCCAGCTTCCTCTTTGTCATGAACAATATATTTCCAAGCTTGCTCCATGTCCTAGATCTCTAACACATCATTTTCCTTTTAGTGATTACATGGTAATTCCATATTACAGATGCAGTGCAGTTTATTTAATGAATGCTATTGTTGTAGGTATCTCTCCATCCTTGGATGGCCACAACCAATGCTTCAGCGAGTCTGTGATGAGTGTTTTTGCACAGATTTGTGTCCACACCCGAAGGACAAAGCCCTCACGTGGGCTTGCTGGGCCGGAACAGGAAGGTGTGCAATGCTGCTGCTTGTGTCTAAAAGCCCCCACTGAGCTTGTCCCAGCAGCTCACTCACTATATCAGTCGGCTTTCTGTTACCACGATGAAATACCTGAGATGATCGGTGTAAGAAGAGGGAAAGTCTGTTCTGGCTCACAGTTTGTGAGGTTACACCATGGCTGGTTGGCCCTGCTGCTTTAGGGCTGGTGGTGAGGCAGCATGTTGTGGCTGGGGCACAAGGCAGAGGGGGCCACTCCCTTCATGGCAGCTAAGAAGCAAAGGAAAAAAGAAGACCTAAGCTGGGTCCCCAGTGTCCCCTTCCAGGCCACGCCCCCAACAGCCTAAATTCCTCTCAGAAGGTCCCACCTCCTAAAGGTGCCAGCAGCTCCCGATGGTGCCAGGCTGGGACAGAGCCTTCAACACGAGGGCCTTTGGGGGACATTCTGGATCCAAACCATAGCACTTGAACAGAAGTTATCAAAGCCTGGGACTCTGCCAACCTGTTAGGTGGAAAGGAGGATCTCACTAATGTTTAGTTTGCAATTCTCATAGTGTAATGGAGTAAGAGTATTTTTGAAGGTTTAGAAGCGTTTTCCTTTCCTGGAAAGGATTTCTATCTGTTGCCCATCTTCCATTCAGTTGTTGTATGTCTTTCTCATTGATTTACAGATGCCTTTTGCCTGTGCATAAGTTTGCATGTCTTATTATCCATGCCATACTATTCTTTATAAAACAGACATAAATGTAATTTATTATTTTTAAATATTGCATAGTAATTCCACCTTAGGTATATGGAATAATTTTTTTCCTGCTTATCATGTGCCACCACACAGGAAAAGCCACTGCAGAAAAGGAGGCAGCAGATCTACCCTGCTGCCTTCTGCCTCTGTCAGTCCAGCCTTGTCCATCCTTCCATGTAAGACGCCACCATTCATACAAGGGGCTACTGCATGCCAGGTCCACAACTGGGCCAGCCTGAGAGGAAGAATTCAGTTGAGTAAAACTCAACCTCAGCTCCCCTGCTGAGAACAGGGCACAGCACACAGGTAGACAGGACAGGCAGACTCCATTTGCAAAGCCACGTGGTGGAAAGGCATGGGTGACACCCCTGCAGCCACCAGCAGGGGCAGGAAGCAGAGAACTGGCAGGGGAGTGGTCAGCTACCCAGCCACGAGCAAACAGACAGTTCCTGCCTCCTGCCAGGCACAGGCAGCAGTTCTGCCTCCCTGGGTTGATGCTTAGCTTTGTCACCAAGGCAGCCCCTTGCATTGATGAGTGGACCCTGGTCTCACCGAATCCTTAGATCATTGAGCACTTTACAGTGGTAAGGGGGGCAAGGCCACACAAGGTCAGGTCACAGAGACCTGCACTTGTGTCACACCGTATTTCCTAGGTACAGCGGAACCTTGGTGTCCTCAAATTCCACACCCATGGATCTAACCCACCATGGATGGAAAATATTCAGGGAAACACACTGTGTCTGTACTAAACATGTACAGGCTTTTTCCTGGTCACTGCTCCCTAAACAATACAGAATAAGCACTATTATGTGGCATTTACATCGTATCAGGCATGGTAAGTCATCTAGGATTATTAATGGTCTGCAGAAGGAGGACACGCCCAGGTGCTGTGCCAATGCGGCCCCACCTTGTACAAGGGACTCAAAGACCACAGACTACACTATCTCCTGATTACGCTAACCAGTCCCCTGTAGACGCGAAGTGACATTGTATTTTACTAATTCAATCCTTGCAATGTTTTGCAGAAGTTTCTTTCTCCATCACAGATTTCTGCATATCCTGTACCTCTAGGATGTGGGGTAAAAAGTCAGATTGCACAAGTTAACTGCTGAAAGGTGAACCCCACTCCCAGAGGTGGTTGGCATAGCATCAGGGCCCTGACAAATGTTGGCTCCTTCTCAGCGGTCATCATAGCCCACCTGTGTGTCCACTCTGAATCCTTTTGGACAGTGCCCACCCTGTCCCAAGGCCCAGGAGGCCAAGGAGGGAGGGCAGCCCTGCCCCCCAGGTGTGCAGCAATTCCCTCTGTGGCCCCAGGGAAGGGTTCACACTTTAGAAGGTCAGGATGTGGTTGCTTTCTGTAGGGCTGCCTTAAATTATTTCAGCTGCACGGAGGTATTTCAAAGCAGACCAAACAAACATTTGCATCTAAAGAAGGCGAAACAGGGTCATTTGAAATAGAGAAGAAAGCCTTTCCCATGTCCGGAGGGTGTGGCCTGACTTTCCAGAGAAGCAGGAAGGCTTTGCTTTGGTTTGTGCCTTTGCCAAGCTGCACAGCTCAGCCCCCTGCTTCAGGAGGGAAGTGTTTTCTTTTACATTAAATGTGAGGCGGCCTAAGTTTCCCTTCCCTAGTTTGCTCCGTGGTCACCCTTGGCTCCCTGCTGCTGTCTGGACTGCATCTTTAAAGGGTCTGCCTGCTTTCTGGACCAGGTGGAGGCCTGATCAACTGGTCAGACCCAAGGCAGGAGGAAGGGCAGGGCTCCCCAGGGCATCCTCTGCTAACGTCCCCAGGGCTCCCTCTCTTGGGATTGCTTCCTTGCACCCTCCTTTTTTATGTTGGGCCCAGTGTTCGGAGAGGTGAGCTAAGCTTTCCCCAAGCATCAGGACTGGAGCACAAGGAGACATCGCATTTTTTTCTAACAATGCTGCCTCGGCTTACCTACCTCTCAGCAACTTAAGAGCCTGAAGAGAGGGAACATCTGCAGCATTCTGTGTGTTCCACTTCTACCAACGCACAAAGACATCCGACCTCGCCTGTCTACAGGTGCTCACACACAGGCAGACATCAGCATGTGTCTACCCTCAGTCTACCATATGCTCCTCCCAGCAGCCCTGTCTTAAAGGAAGATCCACACTGACTCGGCTGCCTCCTTATGCTGAGGACCTACAGCCAGAGCCCTTGTTCATCCATCCATCCCTCCACCCCTCCCTCGACCTACCCATCCATCCATCCATCCATCCACTCATTCATCCAACCTTTTCTTTTTTCTACTGGGGTTAAGATAGGCTGATTAAACACAACCCATCCCTTCCTCTGAAATAGGAGAACAAACATAAAAACAAATCGAAGTCTGGAAAAACTAAGAAAAGTGCCACCAGGACACCAAGGGGAATGTCTACAAGATGCAAAGCAGACGAGAGATGAGATCCGATTCATGGGGAAACCCAGCATAGCCGAGGTACCTGCCATGGTACAGGTGGGAAGTCATCTTCAAAGTCTAGGTCTGGGTGCAGGCAGAGGAGAAGGGAGCATGCACAGGGGTGGGTACTGAAGGGGCTCTCCAGGGCTGAGATGGGGTCTGGATGGAGCCCGAGTGTGGTGTGAGTGTTGAGGGCAGAACTCCAGGAGTAGCCTGAGCAAACACAGGGCCTGCCCAAGAAACTATCAGGTGAGTGCCAGCTAACGGGGAGACAGCACCCCAGATCAGAAGCCCATGAAGGCTCCATGACCTTACCCAGCTCCCTGGTCCTAAGCACTCAGTGGGGCCAGCACTGCTGTACAGTCCCTGCCAGAAGGGAGGTTTAGTTTGTTCAAGGACTGTTTCACCCAGCAAGAGTGATTAGCTGGGTGTGGTGGTATATGCTTATAATCCCAATACTCTGGGAGGCTGAGGCAGGAGGATCACAAATTCAAGCTCAGCCTGGGCAACTTAGCGACTTAGAGAGACCCTGTCTCAAAATGTAAACAGGTCTGGGGATGAAGCTCAGGGCAAAGGCCCTTGGTTCAATTTCTAGTATTGAAAAACAAAAAATATTTGGTCCCCAGGGGGTGATACTGCATGACTGGGAGGTGACAGGACCTTTAGCAGATGGGGTCTAGAGAGAGAGTCTTCAGCTCACTGAGTATTTGCCTCTGCAGAAAAGGGTGAGACCCTTGCCCCTTCCCCTTCTTCTTTGCATCCTGGTCAGAGTGAGCAACTGTGCTCTGCCATGCACTCCCTACCATGACAAACGGCATTATCCCAGCCCAAATGGGGCCAACAACCATGGACTGAACCCTCTGGCACTGTGAGTCAAAACATACCCTTCCTTCAATTGCCTCAGTATTTTTTACAGCAACAGAAAGCTGGAGAGTGCTTTCATCACTGTGGGGTAAACCTTTCAATATATAATGTGGTAGAAGTATGGTGAAAAAGTTTAAGTATTTATTTAATAATAATGACATGCTACTTCAAATAACATTTATGAAATAGCTATACTTTTCTAAAAACTATTTAATAAGAAGAGTAACACTGTTTTGTATTTTAAAAAATCTTTCCAAAGTCTGGCTTAAGGCCAGCTAGATTTTTCTATCTGCTCTGCTCTCAAGCTGTTGAGATATCACACGTGCTGTAGACTCTGGGAAACTGGCTGAACATCCATGAGGGAAGAAAGTGTCTTTGTATTCCTACTAGATAACTCTGACCTTGCAGGCAGCCCTGATAAGTCTCTGTACCTGGCTCCTCTCCTCCAGGAATCTATGGTTCATATTTTGAGAGCCTCCATCCTGGCTCTCGTTGAGAAATGGGTTTGGATGACCAAGAATCTCTATACATCTGAAGGAAGCCAAGAGCGTGCAGAAGACTCAGAGAAAAACCCACATAAACTAGGATAATACAGGAATTAAAAGAGACATTATACTTCACAGAAGTACCATCCTGGACAGGTTTGATAGTCTATAGGAATCAGACAGTTGGCAAGAGGACACAGGCCAAACATAAAAATCAACGTCTCTTCCTTACGCTGAGGAGAAGAGAGCATTTGCAATGGTAACAAAATATGTCATGTAGGGGTAGACCTAACCAAAATGCTGGAGGACGTACATGAAGAACATTTTAAAATTGTACTAAAGGACAGGAAGTGACAGATGTTGTATGCTTCCTGCAGGAGCCCGCAGCACTATGAAGAAAGCAGGCAGGGGAGTGGCTCGGTAAGCAGCCTCTTCGGCACACTGGAACCAGTGGGATTTGTCACAGCGTCGAGAGCCACAATGTATTCTCCAGGGTGAAAGCTGCCCAAAGCGAAGCGAAGAGACAAGGGGCTAAGCTCAACGAAGTTGCAGTAAATGTTACAATCAAAAGGTGAATACACTCAATATGTGCAATTCCTGGAGATAGACATGAAGACAGCAAAGAACCTTACAGGACAAGAAGGTCACAGAAGCCAAGCCAGCAGAGGACACACTCATGGAAACCAATCAAATTAGGGTAAGGGATTGTGGTAACAAAGCAACACCGTAATACAGAGGCTGGAGCCAGCCAGTCTGTTCTGTCTCAGGTCCAGAGAAACAGCCCCTCAGAGGACAGGCAGACGGACAGATGGATACAGAGATCTAGACACACAGGTATGGATGTGGTCCCAATTCCATGTGGTGGTACTTACAGTTTTCCAACTGAAGAGTAGTACCTGAATTTCTTCTTTTCTTTTTCGGTATCAGGAATCAAACTCAGGGCCTCGTGCTTGCTCCTTGAGCTGCATCCACAGCCCCTAAATTTCTACATTCAGTAGAAACTGAACTTTGAATCTTGATCTCTCCAAGGCTGGCGATCTTCAGTGACCCCTGGGTGGTGCTAGGTGGCAGTGGCCAGTGACAGCTGTCCATCATCATGAAGGGCAACAACCAACACTGCAGTGTGTCGTGTTGCTGAGATGCTCACGAAGTTGGGCGAATCACATGCATTTCTAACTTAAGACATCTTCAAGTTGAAATTGGCAGATTGGTTTACAACCCCACTGTAAATCAAGGAACATCTGTTTTCAAAAGATAAAGAGCTCTCTTGCTTATTTGCAATACTATATAAAATATTTGGTTAATTAAAACCACAGATACAGGATCTTTGAGTCTTAAGTTTGCGTCATTCTCAGCTTTCCGCTGCCACAGCCTGATCTTAGGGGTCTTGGAGCAGACGCCCCCACTTTGCACAGGCCCAACAGGGAGCAGTTCCTACTACAGGGCTCCTCACACTCTTGATGAGGACTTGGCCACGAGGCAGTTTGGACAATGCAGTCCACTCAGTGGCCTCTGCCTAGCTCCGGATCTGTTCTCCTACAAGGACAAAATGGATTTCATTTGAAGTAAGTGATCTCCACCTCCACCTCCCTAGTGAAAAGCAAATAAATGTAAATTAAATCCATGAAGTACTTTTCCTTTTTTCTTTTTTCCCCTTTGGCCTATCAGATTGGCAAAAATTAAAAGATTTGAGACTGATTGTATATACCAGATAGGAGGGTTTACAAGCTACAGCAAAAACTGTAAAACAAAAAAGGACTTTATCGACGGGCACTCAGAGAATTTTGAGGGCGCTAAAGGCACAGTCCCAGAAAACCAAGTGGAGGTCAAGAGGCCCTCAGAGGTCCAAGGTAGAAGCAGGTTCGCTCAGGCACTTGGCCACCACGGGATACGCAGCCTCAGCTGGACAAGGCTGCACACAGTCGGGCGATGTCACTAGTACCGGTCTGGGCACCCTCTCCCTCCATCCGCCCAGTAGTCAGTGCTCACCTCTATGGCCCGCGTGCGCCTCTCCCTGGGTCTGGGGCTTTCCTCTTTCTCTGACCTGAGAGAGACTGAAGGGGCCTACTGCCCGGGGGTGGGGGGGCTCAAATGTGGGCCTTTGATTTGCAGCATGAGTGCGGGGCCCCACGAAGTTTTCTTAATACCTATAAAAATCTCAAGTAGACATAGCCACCAACTCCTTTCGGAATCTGCAACGGTTGCGGAAAATAACACAGCTTTTGGAGCAATGTGCCTAGAAAAGTAGGCAGTTCTGCTAACTTGTGGCTCTGGAGCCAGGCTCAATTCCTGACCGTTGCTTAGCAGCTCTGTGGGCCTGGACAGGCTACTGAACCTTCCAATGCCCAGGTCCTCGGCCAGAAACTGGGGGTGACGGTGACCAACCTGAGAGGCCTGTGAGGAGTAAATGAGTTACTAGAAGAGAGGGCTCAGACCAAGGGTTTGGTGTTCGGTGACTACTCACTGCTCATTAGCTCCTTCTGTGTCCTGACCCCATTTCTGTATAAAGCGTGTTAATGTGAACGTGTGTATGTTGCTATGAGCCCGAACTTTACACATAAAACTGTTCTGTGCAAGGGAAGCAGGAAGGGGGTCAGTACGGATGTTCTTTTGCTCGGGGTCTATTTATGAATGAGCTTCCTTTATAAGCATGAACACATGTAAATCATGGCTGGAAAGTATGTAAGGGGGGAGGCCTCTCAAGGGCCGGCGACAGGGCCAGTGCCCAGTGTCAGCCACCTCCCCACACTGCTGCACAAGGCCTTGGGGCCCCAGTCCGGCAGCAGGGGTCTCATCTGAGAAGGCCCACGCCTAGGGAAGATCCGGGCCGCGGACTCAGGCGCGTGCCAACGGCCTTCCAGGCCACGGGGGTGGCAGAGGGGGGACAGCGATCCCTCGCAGAGGGCTGGGGAAAGTGGGGTGGGTGTGAGCCCTGGACCCGGAGGGCCGGGCAGGGGAGCTGGGCCCAGTGCCCTTCGTCCAACTTCAGCAGTTGTTCCGCAGCAGGCCCGCCAGAAATAGGGGCGTGGCGTCCCCTCGTGGCTCTCGCCCCTCCTTGGCCTTCCCCCTTCTCCTCCCTCTCTCCTGTCCGGCCCTCCGGTCCTAGCTGCCCTGCCCCGGGCTGGGGTGGATGGAAGAGGAGAGGCTGGGTGGCGCCCCGGCGTGGGCTGGGAGGGGGAGCGCGGGTCGGCGCGGGGTGGTGCCAGGACTGGCCCGGGCTACCTAACTGACAACTCAAGGCCTCCATGGTGCTCATTGATTAATTACCAGAGCAGCTCTACTGTACCCTGCTTAGGAAATGTGCAGTAGACATAAGATCATGATGACATCCCATGGGGGAAATGCCCAGGATTGTTGTGACTTTTCACTCTCCTGGGTCAAGGCTCAGACATGACACTGAGCTGGGAGAGTGCACAGTAACCACCCAAGAGAATGCACAGAACTCACGAGAGCATCCCTTCTTTGCTTTCTTTCCCAGCAAGTACCTAGAAAAATGTTCCCTGTTAAGGCTGTTACTAGCGTCCACCGTTGGGAGCGCAGCTCTGACACCCGAGACCCGACCCCAGGTGGACTTGGAAGGCTGGAGGGCGGACACCTACGCCTGCCCCGCTGCTTCCAAGCCCTGGCCAGGGCCACCGAGCCACCTGCCTGTGTCCAGCGTGTGCCCCACCAGTCCTGGGAGGCCGGCTTCTGTCCGGGCCGGGGGCAGACACTGGTCACCGTCTTGGAGCAAGGACTGCCCACAGGAGCTGCGAGGGGACCAGGCAGGCTAGGAATCAGCCTGAGTCCCGCTCAACAGAGGGGCAGGGACTTGAGGCAGGGGCCGAGGCCTGCAACGCCTCGTGGTGCACAAGTGCGAAGCACTCCGCAGCCCCTGCTTGGGGCTCCTGCTGGAAAGCTCTTCTGCCACCTGATGAATGGTCCTGGGAGAGTCTCCCATCCCCTCCTGCCCTGGCACAGCTTGGACCTTTCCCTGACCGTGCCTGGCACTGGCCTCTGTCAACGCTGGACAGATGGCTCTGCTTCCCTCTGAAACAACTCCAGATCTTAGAAGGCTCTCCTGGGAAACTTTCCTCCTGGTGTGTACCGCACAGCAGCAGAGGCCACCGTCAGCACTGCCACATCCTGGGTCCCTGGACTCTGCCTGAGGGCTTGCCTGTCTAGCTTGTGTTTAGATTCCCCAGGGTTTGTGGAAGGCTGACCTAGCTCACAGCCCTCGGTGTCTGCACCGCAGAGGGAGTGGCAGGTCAGCGATGTGGGAAAGGGAGAGGGGTGGGGAGACGAAACTGGTGAAGGATGGCATTTTCCAACACTCAGGGGAGTAAAAGCTCTGGAAAGCCCCTCAGGAGCTGCTCTTCCGGGTATCTAGGGTGCAGGTTACCATGGCGGCAGATGAAAAGGACAGTGTCTGCCTCAGAGTCACCCTGGCACTCCAGGCAGGCCTTGTGTGTGTGGCCCTCAGGTCCATAAGCCTGGGTCCTCGGGGTGACAGGACCTTAATCTCACTGGGCCCAGAGCCACCAACCTCCTCATCACCTCTACCCAGGGACCCCTTGACTTGAAAACTTCTGTGCATTAAATACACAGCGTGAAACAGGAAACATCTATGTGACTGCTGAGTGTAACTCAAAGAAACTCAAGGCCCTCAGGGACTGGAGGTCCCTCAAGGGAAGGAGACCTGGGTCCTTTCCCCACTCACCCAGGATTCCTTCACATATACGAGTGACCCGCAGGATGTGTGTGAGCTGTAGCCAGCACTGCTGGTTCCTGCCCTCAGCAACACGTGGACCTCACTGAGCTCTGCCAGCTGGCTCTGGGGCTCTAGGATTTCAGACCAACCATCAAACATAAATACAGAGCCCTGTGGGTCCTCTCAGTGAACACCGCTCTCAAGAAAAGCAAGGCAGGGGCCCTGCCAATTTGGTTACGAGAAAGATTGCAGTTTAGTTTAGCTTTGTTGTATTTGACTTTTTGGTCACAGGCCCAGTTATCACCTTCTAGAATCTTCCTTCTTCCCCTTAAACTCCAGCTGAGTTCTAAAGTCCATAAGTTCTCAGGGAAACCAACACTGGCTATGAAGACCTGGGAGATTTTTTTTTTTTTTTTTAATGTGCGTGGTGTTTTTTTTTTTCTCTCTCTCTCTTTTCTTTTTCATTAAGTAACCTCTTTAATGTCTGTTTATGGTCAGGCGCAGTCTGTAGCTTCACATAGCAAAGTCTGATTAAACTATGCCCAATCTATCCTGGGGCAATAGACAGATAATTACGGTGCTTAATTTTCTCATTTGATGAATAATGAAAGCTTTGCTCATTTTGTATATGTGGGAAAGACACAACTTCAATATATTTGGACGTGAAGATGAATTTTTAGTATTGATGTGCGGGCACACTGTAACGCAGCTCCTGCTATTTCTTTCACAGTTACTATGCACTTTTGAAAACAGAGTAAGCTTGAATGTGGAAAGGAGCTCTTCCTTCTCTTTTATGTGATAGAATACATGTATATGGCAAAACAGATATTTGTTCCTCAAATGCTATACAATACATCACACAAATAAAATCATTTGTCATCAAAGTTCTTACTACCTTCTAACATCTTAGACCTGCCACAGGCTTTACTCAAGCAAGAAATGAGGTTATTCTTCCCTGTATTGCTTCTCCTAGTAACTTTCCTGGCTCTGAGCATGTCAAACAAAGGAAAGCATCTGGCCCAGGAGTTGGGGAAGCTGTGTTCAGTCTGCAATGAAGTCTCCTAAGACTTGGCTGTGTTACATAGCAGAATTCACTTTCTTTGTGTCTCAATTGCTTTATCTATGAATAGAAGAGCTATTCTCTTTTTTCTCTTCTATTCTTCTTTTCATCCTTCCTTTATTATGGAAATTTCCACATCAAACATCACCAAAGGTAAAGAGAATAGAGAAATGAAATCCTCACCAACTTTAATAATTATCTGCCTTTAACCAAAATCTTTTTCATCTAGACCCTCATTCACCCTACTTCGCATAAACAAATGCCTAGACATCTGAAATTTTATTTGTACACATTCAGAATTATATTATCTATCTATTGCGAGTGTCTTGAAATAGCGATCATTGTTAGGTCACGATTCTGTGGGTCGACAGTTGGGCTGGGATCAGCTGGATGGCTCTTCTGTTCCTTCTGTCTGGGCTCTCAGGATGATGCAGTTAGCTAGTGACTTGACCGGGTTGAGCTGTCTTTGATGGTCTCACCCACATGTCTGGCAGTTGCGAAAGGTGCCTCAGTTCTCCACACAGCCTTAGAACAGGCTAGCTCAGGCTTGCTCCCACAGTGGCTGTGTTCCAAGAGTTCCCAGAGGCAAGAGAAGGCAAGCCCCAATGTACAAGTGCTTTTCAAGCCTGTGCTTGTAGCATGTTTGCTAATGTCTCATTAGACAAAATAAGTCAAGCAGCAAAACCCAGAACGAGTGTAGGAGGGAATATGCAAATGACATAGAAGTGGGGAGTAATTAATCTACAGAGGCCATTACCGCAGCAATGTAGTACAAGGTTATATTTCTGATAGACGAGGAAGTGCTTCCTCTTTTAACAGAACTGCAATT